TTTCATTATAACTATTGAAATTTTTATTAATATGCTTAGTTGTGTTTGTATATTTTACATTATGGAATTATATCCTTAAAATGTATCTTATTAGAGTTATATGTAAATGCACTTTATATAAAATATGTATTAAAATTTTAAAGACTTTAATTCATACTAAATAGGAATAATAAAAAAAAATGTTTGTATTTATTACGTTACAGCAGCAGGAGATCCAAATGCATGGAGATTGGGAAGAATCGAAGAGACTGATCATGAAACACCTGTTTAATGAAATGAATATTAGATGAATGTCATCCTCGACAGTCAATATAAAGCAACACCGGTCTTTTTACATAACGTGAAATAACGATGAAGTATATTCATCATTTTTGAAAATATGGTATGGTGTGCTGTGCGTGGAACAATTAAACATTCTCTTGCCAATTAATAATTTTTGCCACTAGTCAAGTATGATTAATAATGAAAAAAGATTTCTTCATTTATAGAATAATGGTTCCATCCTAATTTATATAAAGTGATATATGACTAAATATTACTTTATGCTTCCAATATATTATTGAATACCACCGAAACTGATTTAAATATGGCTGTTTATAATTCATAATGATTTTCTTTTTAATGTGCATGTGTTTAATATTAAACAAGTGAGATCTTACATGTGTAATAGAATGGAGGTTGTTCAATCGCAGCGGCGTAACTTCTCTAGTGAGAGACCTGTGATTCATTGGAACTGTTAAAGAAAAAAATAGGGAGGCCTAAATACTTGATTGTTTCCCATACCCAGATATAGTGCCTTTTTACTTGCATTTCATTTATTCATTTTTTAAGAAAAAATATATACAGTACTATTGTATATTAATTTACACTTCACTCAATATCTTTTAAAAAAGTTGCTGGTGAAAATCTATATATTCTAAATAATAAACAAAGTATTTCTTTTATATTTCTTAAAATAGGACCAGTTTGAACTAGTCTACTTAAAAACTGGATGATAGGAATGTAACTAATTGAATTTATCACATGTTAGACTTAATTATTGATGTCACTTTTAATCACAATTAGCTATGTTGAAAATATGGCCAACTTCAACATACATTTTTCAATAATTTTTTAATTTCATAGATTGCAGCATATACAAATTAACTGTTACTTCAAATATGATTTATTAATTTCTATGTGTAGTTATATTTTCTTTGTTAATATAAACAATATAATTTAGTAATATAAACAATAATATAACAATAAATCTTTTAAAATTTATTTTTGGGTATGATTATAGTAGTATGATTATTAATTTCTTGTTATTACTCGTCTTTGGTTAAACTTTATCGCTATTATTGAAGTTTTCTTTAACCAACACATTACTAAGTTATTAACGATTTCTGCCAGCAACTGATCGTTTTTGCCATCAAAACTACGTGACTATTAAATAGTTTTGATGGATTATCGTGCGAATCATAATATCATAATATCATTAGATAATGATGTTCAGATTAGAGAAGCAGGAAGTTACGCCAAAAAGCGCTGAATGATAACAAAATTACAACGTGAGCTACATTAATAAAATATTTATATTGATATACATTGCCGGTAGAAAAATAAATGCATATAACTTTTAATGTCTAATATCATAAAATTATTGGACATCGTTACTACAATATTATAATCACGATTATTATTTCTTTATTTAAAAGAAAAAGAGTGCATATAATTTATAAGCGGTAATTATGATTAAAATCAATTATTATGAATGAAATAAAACAAATTAATACGCACAGAGGAATAAAGAGAACATTAACGTAAATAATTAAAATTATTTTGAATGGAAATAGTGAGTGTTGTGTACCAAAATTTAAAGTAAAAAATCTCAGGTTTCAATAATTGGATACACTTTCTGGAAAAAAAATAAACAAGAAACAAAGAAAAGGTTTAAAGACAGTTTTATCTAGTCTTTGGTAAAATGCATTAAGAAATTTAAAACATTGCTAATCGAATTCATGCCCTGTTAAGGTTGTAATATATACTTTAAGAAGACTTTTTATATGTAAAATCATAGTTCTGAACATATTCTATTTCAAACATTATAAATAGTTTTAAAGTTGGATAATAGATAACAGATATTAGATAATACAGTATTGATTCTTTGTTTCTTTTTTTAAATAATACTGTTTTTTTATAACATGTTAAATTGAAAAAATGAGAATCATGCGATCTTATTAACTATAATACTATTCATGTATGTACAAGAAATGTAAGTGATTTGTTTTAATGAATGTAAATTATTCGTTATTCATTTTTGTTGTTTATTGTTTCAGATTGTTAACGATTATATGTAGACTTTTTTAGTACATAGTTAGGTATTACAAAAGAAATATGAATGAAATGAAAAAATTTAAGTCACATTGAATACAATAATAAAAGAATTAATGATGAAAGGAATAAAGAAAGTTAGTTTTAGAAAAATGTGATACCAAGTTATTCTTTTCATCCTTTTACATTTTTCCTTTTAATTTGTACATTACAGCACATTTACTTGAGTGTACTTTATTGTCTTCCTACAATGTGATTTATTTTTTATTTTTTAGATTTACTTTTTAATATATTACTAAAGAATATGCTGCATAATTTGTAATTATCA